ACATTAGAGTAAAATTATACTTGTTACTTTCATGATATTTTAATATTCTTAATGTTGGAAAATAGTGCTCTATCGGACTGTTTTGACATAATTATGAGTGAGACTCGTTTCTTCGTTGGGAAGATCAAAACAAATTCATGTTATTCAACGTGAAAATATCAAGATCATATATTTACTTGTCAAAAACAATGCTGGAGTGAATAAAAAATTGAAGTTCGAAGCGTACCAATTGAAAGAGGTTTATGTGTTGAAGACAAAACATTTTAGTTTGTTTCACAAAAGAAAATTAATAAGACGAAAATATGTTTACATATCATGTGCAATCATTTGTAGTATAGAGACTCTCTCTAAGTACACGCATATGGAGCGCAAATCATGGACCAGATTAGCATCTTGGATCATTTATAAGCACAATCTGCATAAATGAATGTCGAACCGAAATTGACTCATTAGTAGAGTCTATATTTTGCGTTTATTTTTTTATATATTTTTTATTTTTTTCACAACCTTCCAACTTCAATAACTCTTGAAACTTCAGCGGTTATAGCCATATCAATAAGTTGCAAATGACTGAACACACGAAATGCCTTTCTTCTCTGTTTGTATATAATTTTTCAATTTTTATTTGCTCGAAATTTTTCACTTTCTGACAAGAGTCTTGGTGATAGTACGATCAAATTCAATTCTTAAAAGTAGAAACTTAAGTGTTCAGTTTCTACTAGTTTCTCCATTTTATCGTTGAAGATGAATTGATCAAACGAAATTTCAAACACTTACGATAAGGGGCGAATCTTTTTCAAAAACATTGTGTAATACACGGACCTCGATTTGCAATTCTAATTTCTCCCTTCAATGATGGGATGTGGAATTAATATCAACGAGTGCGATAAATACGTTTATGTGAAAGACGTCGAGAATGAATATGTCATCTCATATCTTTACGTTGACGATATGTTAATTGTTGATAGCAACGATAAGATGATTAAATGTACTAAATATATAATGAAGGTAAGATTTGGCATGAAAGATATTTGTTTAGTTGATGTGATATTTGTAATTAAAATTTCAAGAATATCATATGGACTCGTTATAAGTCAGTTAGATTATGTTGTCACGATTTCTAAAAAATTTAGCAAAGATGATTTTTACATGACTAAAACACTAAGGGTATGTTTGATTGCATTTTTTTTATATATAGAATATGTCAATTTTTCACCCAAATTTTCAATTTAAAAGTATTTGATTGTTATTTTTTTCATGTAAAATATTTTCCAACATTTAAAAATATGTCTAATTTTCCTTAGGAAAACATTTTCTTTGGGGGGAGTAAGTTTTTGTTTTCCTCAAAATAAAGAAAATATTTTCTTTTCAAAAATATATTTTTCATATCAATCAAACATACTCTAATAGATACAAGTGATTGAAATATTCCTCCAAATCTGGATTTACAAGGGAATGCTGATTAATTATTTGACCTTAATTCCTCCATCTAATTTGGAAACTTAATCAATTTCAATACCAAATTCAATGACTTTGTTATTATTACACCTTGACATTGTTGGAATGCTGTAGCGGAATTATCCAAAAATTTAAAAAATTATTTAATTCAATAAACAAGATCGTCTAGACATTTACGTGTATGTTATATCAAGAATTAGTAAGTTCAATTTTTTTTACCAAAATTCGATTATCAATTCAAGAATTGGATATGAATTACGAACTTTCAGCATTTTGGATCACGAGCTTCCAGTCTTTTAATTGTAGGAACTTGATGCTTCAAACCTACAAGTTTTCTATCCATTTTTAGGGCGACGGTTTCCGACACGAATTCATGTTCTCTACTTCGCTCATTCTCAAGTTCTCAACTCATCGAGATATTTGATCAATCAAATTGATCATTTCCATTGATGAATCAAAGAACCATTAAAGTCACGAAAATATATACACAAGTCATGGGATTTAGATGAAATACATAGCGGTTAAATGGAATTTAATTTTTCGCACGGTCATGCTATAGTATTAAACTCGGCATGTGGTCCGTTCAATACACTTCAAGTGTAATAGTGTCATATTTAACTATTTCTGTTATAAGAACAAATCAAAAATCCGAATAGTGAATAGTGAGTCGGACAACGCTACAACGTTTTGGTACAAAGTGACAACCCTTATACATATGTAGCGAACAAATTATTTATGATCAAAATATAAGTTATGTCACAATGTACTTATCAACGCAAGTACTCAACTTGTATTATGACAAGTGATCATAGACACTTTAATTCGCATGCTCAATAATTAAATAAATACAATAAATGAAAAAATAATTTTATTTAATATAAGAATATTTTTAATTTTACATTAGGAAAACTATACTATATGGGTACACAACCCAACATACTTTCCAAAAGCAAGAGGCAAGCGAATACTTCTGCTCAAATGATCATTCCATCTAATGAGATAAGCATTTAGTAAAACAATCATGTTACATGTACATTCTTGTTTACATTAAGTTTGACATTCTAACACATGACATTCATCAGTCATTGATTTTTAAAATATCATTTCACATCACTAGCCAAATTTTGATACATAAAGGGAATTGTCAACAATAATGTGAATAATATATATATATAGCTTAATTCTTAGTAAAACAATCATGCTAAATGTACATTATTGTTTACATTTTAATACATGGCATCCATCATAATCATTGATTTTTACAATATCTTTTTATAGCATTGGTCAAATTTTGACATATAAAGGGGAATGTCAACAATAATATAAACAACAACCTACTAAGGGAATCATAATATGCCATATTCTCAAGAAACAAAAGTGCATTTTCAATCGTCAAATGCATGAAGACATTCATATTGGGAATAATAGTAGAAAAACACGAGGAAAAAGAGGCTTCTTACTGTGAACCTTCCTAGAGTTTAGAACATATTACTTTATTTATCGACAAAAAAATTGTCGATTTTGTCTAAAAAAACTTCATTGCTCGATTAAATTTATAACAATAAATTTTTTAATTATTACTGATGAAAATCTAACTCCGAGATTTCGTTGTTAGATTATTTGGAACTAAAATTCCAAAATTTTTGGGGCTTACACAGTTGTGGGTCTTAGGTAATAGTCTCTCTCATTTGCCTAGTCGAATTTTTGTTTTTTATCTTTTAAAATATCGCCCTTCCAAATTATTAAACAATTTATGCACATTAATATCCTTAATTTATTATTCATGTACCTCGTACAAATACAATACACCTGTTAACTTTATAGAAGTTTCGGACGGTTCTTGTCATTAAGGACAAAGACAATCAAAAANATATTAAAACTCTGATAATCCGAGACACGTAGCCTAATTAAAACAACTTAAAAAAATAATAAAAAGCAGAAAAGTGATTATTTTATTTCTTGGAAGTTGCTAGCCGTGTAGAAGAAGAAGAGACAAAATTACAAAACTCTTTTCACAAGGAAACCAAGTTTAGTGGGTCCCATTCAACAGTACGGAACGGACCCAGTTACCGACTTGGATTCATGGTTGACATCAATCCCACCTCCAATAAACATATCATTAATATCAAACATCATCAATATCGAGTATGAATATGATAATTGTATGACATTAAATGATAATTCATTTAAACGTAATGTCACATTATTCATTTAATTGATACCACTTAAATTGGTGTTCTAACACTACTGAAATATCATTATTCTTCTTTTATGTTAGGTCGTGTTTGGCATACCAAAATAAAGGGTGCAAATTTAATTATTATAAATGAAATTTTTAACAAGTTTGCAAATGATGCCAAAATTTTTATTTTTTTTCAAATTAATCATAAATATTTTGGATGTCTTAATTAGATATTTTGAAGCAAGGCGAGCTTTAGTGAAGATATTCTTTGAATCCTAGAATGAAACAGAAAATAAGTACGGGGATATTGCGAGGACATCTGGACCGACTGGGACGTCTCATATTAGATATTTCATTTTAGTTGTATCAACTATTTTAAGTTGTGACATTTTGGAGTCTTTCTAGGATTTTATTCTTGATATTTAAACTCTTTCAAGTTGCAATTTTTTTTTTTTTTTGGTCGAATTATATAATACTTAGATCTTGTTTGATAGAGATTAAAATCGAATTAAAATTGAAAAATTAACCGTTATTATTGACTTTCATTAGACGAGTGAGACCCAATAACGACTATATTTTCAATGTTAATTGGATTAAAATTCCTCCCAAATAAGCTCTTAAGGTCGCTCCATTCTTCAATCTTCATTCGCAGTTCAAACAATGAATTTAGGTTAAGATGTTATTTAATTCTTACATAATTTTTTTATGAAGTTTTAATTTTACTATACTTTCACGTGTAGATGAAGCGATTTGAAACTATGTAATTTTCGACCGTTGTCGTGTATTTACTATTTAGCCAATTAATTTTATCATTTTAACCACCCAAATACAAGATAACTAACGCCTCAATTGAATAAAAATCTGAAAAATATCTGAACAATAATAATGAACATAAAATGATCTTTTATTAATTAATATTCAATAAATTAGTCGACCTTCATATAACAACAATGAATATAATTTACTTTCATATTAAAACATTTAATTCACCGTGTTTGGCTGGTTTAAAATAACTTAAGCAAAAAAACCTAAAAAAAATCACTTTTGAACGCTACCGACATGTTGGGTGTATTTTATTTCCACTTTTCTCTTTTCTTCCTTAAGTACAACCAAACACAGTCTTACACTGATTCGGAAATCCTATGAAAGTGAAAAGGCAAATATAAGAAGAATAATCAAATTGGATCTGTCACAATCCATCCACCGTCTTGAACTATATCATTTGGTACGAAATAAGTTCTATAAGTACCCTCATATCCCTGACCTTGGATTCTTGAAGCTGCGAATTGAAGCAAATTTTCAGTATCTTCTCTCTCCAGAGGCATTTATTTCTTCACAATTTTCGTTACTGAATTCTATCATGAATCAAGACTCGACTTTCGATACTAACGGCACCAACTGTACCGGAACTATCAAGTTCTTGTACAGTTACGGTGGTAGAATTGTTCCCCCGTCGATAGAAGGGCATGGCGGCATGTTACGTTATGAGGGTGGTCATACTAGAATCCTTTCAGTCGATCAGTCCATTTCATTTGCAGGTTAGTTGCTTTTCCTTTTTCTTTTTCTTTAAATTTAATATTTTTCCTGTTATTCAATTTTTATAAATCAAAGTAATTTTGGATTTTATACAGAGTTGATGGTGAAATTTGGAGACTCGTGTGGATATTCGGTGAATATGAAGTGTAAACTACCGAAACATGATTTGGATCAACTAGTTTCAATCAAATCTAAGGGAGAGCTTAAGAGTGTGAAGGAAGACTACGATAGAGCTTCGCCAGGGGAGAAAATTAGAGTTGTGTTGTTTCCTATACCTGTAAAACAAATCTCTCCTTCTCCTCCTACATCTTATGTCGATTTTCCCTCAGGATGCAAATCCTAATATTTTTCCGGCAGCCCCTTGGCTTGAAACTCGGTTGCCGTCGAAAAAGGGAAACATCAATGCAATGAAATAAGGAATTGGGAAATAATTTGTCATGTGAGCTTACATATATAATTAATTTTGCAACACGGGGTTATCTTAAGATTAAGCACAAAATTAAAGTCATCTAATAAAGAATTAAAGTAGTTGAGTTTGGGCATCTAAATGAAATGTTAAAAGACTTAAATATGTGTAGAGATCGGATTCAATTGAATTTTATTTCACGATGAACCAAAATACATGTGTGTGTATATATATAGTGTTATCATCTCCAATTCACACGTAAACTTTTCACTCTTTTTGTCATTCTATCCACACACACACACACACACATATCCAAAACTCACAATCAATATCAATAATTAAAAATCAAAAAGAACGATTGAAGCATTCTAAATTAAGAGCAAGAAGTCAAAGTTAAAGGAACTGCAAGTTGATCTTCAAGATTCAAAATAATGGAGCCATGTATGTTCCACATTAACTAATTCTCTTGGTAATTTGACATGGAGATCTTGGCATTAAAGTTTTTAAGGTTATAAAGTTCTAGTTTTAAAGATCCAACAAGTGGTATTTAAGCCATTCATGTTAAACCGCTGAGATTTGATAAAGAATTTTAGGGATGGAGTTTGTACTATGGATTCTTCATCATTGAGATGCAAATTTTATCTCTAAAATTCGAATTTTTTGGATTTTTGGCGAAAATTACGATTTTCAGTATTCTACGGCGCGTCCAGCTCGCTGTGCGCCTGGGTGGTGCTCAAGCGAGACAACAAGCTGCGCTCACTTGGCATCGGCTGGCTAGAATGATAGTCTTGCCACTCGATCGGCGCTAGAGCAGTAGGTTTATTTGGTTTCAAACATTTTCTAGAAAAAATAATTTTAAGTGACAATCTAATTTAAATTTTAGTACAATTGTATTGATTCGGATGACTAATATTCTAAAATAGATTAATTGAAATAACATGTTACCAAAGTAACTTCTCTTGTCTATATTAATTTATTTGGAATATTGGGAATGTTGAGCGTATGTAATGTATACAGATATTGACCGGCCTTAAAAAATGTAAATATTTGATCGAATTACATACACGTGATAATAATATATGTGTCGATTATAAAGTTTTTTTTTTATGTGAACAATGAATCGGTCCAAAGATAGATTTACTATTTGACATGGTTTATTGTCAATACTTGATTACTACACCAAGAGTACCATCAACAAGTTGATATTTCTATCAAAATGCTAAATATTAATGTTGAGTTCGGTCTTTTGTGATGGGTTATACCATTATTTGAAATTATTGATTGTCCAATACGAAGTTTTACGTGAACATGTTGTTCAGGTACAAGTTCTATATTCAGCTAATCCATTTGCTTATACAATATCTGTCAACATCAACTCAATTTACTATGCTTGTACCAAAATTTAAGGTTTGGAAAGAGAACGTTCATATTGTTCTTCGTTGCATGGATCTATAGATTATTTTAAGGACTAAACAACCCACTACATTTATGGATAAAAGTTCTATTGATAAAAGCATGACTTTGATAAGTGAGATCGTTCAAATTGCATGAGTTTTATTATTATGAAGCGTGAAATTCAAATAACATTCAGGGGCTCCGTGTCCATTAAGGTAAATGCTGCAATGGAACTTCTTAAAAGAAATTGAAAAACACTTTAAAAAAGGTGATAAGGTCGAAACTAATATACTTCTGGCAATCTTAGTTTCACTAAAGTATAAAACTAAAGAAAACATAAGGGAGTATATTAGGGAGATGTCACATCTTATTTCAAAACTAAGCATTAAGTTTTGAGCTATCTGATGACTTGCTCATACGTTTGGTTTTGATTTCTCTTTTCACACAATTCATTTAATTTAAGATCAGTTACAACCGTTCAAAAGGGAAGTTGACTTTTAATAAGATCATTTTATAGTGTGTGCGCGAAGAAGAAAGGCATTTAGCAAGAGAGAACTAAAAGTGTTCACTTGACAAGTACTTCTAAGAATAAGTTCAAGAAAAGAAAGAATAAGGTGGTTGCATCTAGTTCAGCTCAAAAGAAATAGTAATAGCCGGAAAATGATTAGTTATCCAACTGTTACTTTTGTGAAATTCCTATCCATAGCAAGAAGGACTATACTAAATACCATTTTGGTGTACAAAGGAAAGTATAATTTCCACTTTGGTTTGTTCTGAGATTAATTTAGTTTCAATACCTAGACACACTTGATGGATAAATTTTGGTGCCATTACTCATATAATTATGTCTATGCAAGGTTACCTGAATAGCCAAAAGCCCATTGATGCTGAAAAAGTCATCCATGTAGGTGATGACAATCAGTTAAAGTTGAGGTTATATGGACTTTAAGGTTACCATTAAAGATTTGTTATTATTTGGATTTCAAAAAGACATTTTGCAGTACCATCTTTTAGATGAAATTTGATTTCTATTTTTACATTGGACAAATCCGGTTACTCTTGTTCATTTAGAAATAGTAGTTTAGTCTTTTTCTTAATTTAAATATTGTGGTACTAGTTCTTTACCTGGTTATGATAATCTATATTTACTTAATACGGTTGCCTATTATAAATAAACATTACATGTGAATTCACGTATTAAATGTAAATTAACCAATGAAAATCTCGTTTCTTTAGGTCACATTTCTCAAAAGATAATTGAAATGTTTGTGTCGAAGGAATTCTTGATCTCCATGATTTTTCAAACTTAAATATTTGTGTTAATTGTATTAAGAGGAAACAAACAAATATAAGGAGATTAATTACTAATAGGACTTCGAACGTCTTGAAGCTAATTCATCAAAATATATGTAGGTTATTCCCTTCGACCTTTTGGAATGGTTAACAGTCATTTATTATGTTCATAGATGATTATTCTTGCCATAGCTGCTTGTATCTCATTCATGAGAAATCTCAGTTACTGGACATGTTCAAGGCTTACAAAAATAAATTTGAAAATCAACAAGTAAAAGAATAAAACACGTCGATCTGACAGAAGTGGTAAATTCAATGGCAGATATGATGGATGTGAGAACAATGTCCAGTGCCTTGAACTAAATTCCTATAAGAATGTGAAATCGTTTCATAGTACACTAGAATCTCTCTAAGGAGAAAAACTAAAGATTGTAGCTTAAATTCTCAATAAACTTCCAAGTAAAGCAACAGTCAAAACCCCTTATGATATTTGGACATACAAGAAGCTTAGTTTGAAGCACTTGCACATTTGGGGTTGTTCAACTAAGGTAAGGCCTTATAAGCCAAATAAAAGGAAACTGGACTCCAGATCCATCAATTTTTATTTTATTAGATATTATGAGAGGTTAAGGGGTTAATTTTTAAGATCCCACTATTGATTCAATTTCGAAATGAGAAATGTCCGATTCTTTGAGGGTGTGGAATTTACGGGAAAAGATAATATTTTAAGATTAAGGATTTTGTCTTAGAGGAATAATATGTGTATATTGCTTCTGTTCAAATTGATAATGATCAGAATCAGGGACAAATTCTTATTCCAGATCTTGTTCAATAAGAAATTTGGATCGAGAAATATAGTAATACCTATACATAATCAAGAGATTGTTCCAAAACAACAAACTCAAAAACTATGGGTGGTAAAATGGCCGAGTATCTAGTCGGCTCTGCTCAGGTCGACCTATGGACGACTCAAGCTCATTTTGGAACGAGCTCGAGCTGAGTCGGGTTTCGTTCAGCTCGTCGAGCTCGAGAACGGGTCATGGGCTCGCATCCTAAAGTTCATGAGCCTACGAGCCATCAACCGAGGTTGTGCTCGAACGAGTTTGAGCTCGGCTCGTCACTTTGATGAGCTGAGCCACCACTATCAACAGCCTCAAGAACAAATGCTATTAAGAAGATCGACTAGAGAAAGAGAAAAACAATATCGAATGATTTTATAGTTTTTCTCCAAGAAAATAAGAATGTCATTGGATTAAGAAGATTCGTGTAATGCAAATGAATGATTCTCAAGAGTAAATTGATACCATGAATAAAGAGATAAAGTTTATGAAAGATAATGACAATTGAAAACTCATCACATTGCCTAAATGTGCGAAATCCATTGGCAGTAAATGGATATTTAAAAACAAGAAGGATTCAAATGGTGATGTTGAGAGATATAAGACTTGTCTTATTGTAAATGACTTTACTCAAAAGGAAGTCATTTATTTTAAAGAGACGTTCTCTCTGGTTTCTAAGAAATAACCTTTTAGGACTATTATGACACTTGTGATACATTTTGATCTTGAGCTATATTAGATGGTTTATAAATTAAAGAAATCCATCCATGGGTTTAAGCACGCTTTCCATTAATAGTATCATAAATTTCGTCAGATAATTATCTCATTTGGTTTTGAGATGAATGTAGTTAATAGTTGTGTATATCACATGTTTGGCGGGAGTAAGCATATTTTTCTGATATTGAATGTCGATGACATATTACTTGTTTGCAATGATATATGCTTACTGCACGAAACAAAAAGGTTTGTGTCATTGAATTTTGAGATGAAAGATCATGGTGACGTCTTTTTGGTTAGGGATATAGATACACTAGGATTGTTCTCGAGGTATTTTTTGAATTATTTCAAAAGAGTTATATCGATAATGTTCTTAAAAGATTTGAGATCCAGGAATGTAAAATAGGTGATACCTATATTGTTAAAGGAGACAAGTTTAATCTCAATCAATACACTAAGGACAATTTTAAATAAAATGAAATACAGAAAATTCACCGCGTTTCAGCAATGGGAGTTTATTGTATGCTTAGATTTACATATGTCCGGATATAACATGCATTGTTGGAATGCTGGGCGGATACTTAAGTAACTCAAGATTGATATTTGAAAAGCAGTTAAGCGGATTATTTGGCATCTATAAAGAACTAAGGATTATATGATCACATACAAGAAATCAAACCAATTGGAGATCAT